ATGCCTTCCTGTCATTTCTCAGCCTTCCCTGCGCGGCTCAGCTGGGATGTTAAAGATCTGGATTTAATGAAAGAAGGTGAGAAGGTGAAGAACAACAACAAAACCCGAATGAGCGTATGTTTAGTTACATGGAAAGATCACTGAGAAGGGGCAGTAATTTTCTTTGTACCTAATACAACGCAGTATCTCCAAGGTCAAAGAAGACCACAGCCCTTCCTTCCTTACGCTTTCATTCCCTACCCTGGCAGCTCGCTTCTCCACCTAGAGCAGGTTTCGCAAAGTTTAATTTCAGATGGTGGAGTGAAAAAGAATCTTTTCTAACACCGCCTTGTAGTTCCTGAGAAGCACATGGAAGTAGTGCAGGAGTTTCTTCAGTTGCTTGCACTGCTGGTGGAGCATCTCAGTAGCAGGCATTTCAGACCTCACGCTGTGGATGGCACAGCCCAGCCCGTCTGTCTGCGAGCTTACTGACACTTACCCTTTAGACCGGGAGTGAAGAAGCAGGTTCCCATCTAGTGATACAGAGCCACTAAAAAACAGCACACTTTAATGTTTCAAAGGAGAGCCAATAACAGCTGTCGAAACTCTAAAGCAATGCTCCGAATTAGAATGAAATCGTGTAGTCATAATTTCATTCCTAAAATGTCCTTAATCAGTGAGCGTTCCAGCCCTGTAGTGTGAGTATCACACTGAAAATACCAAAGAAAACGTGAGGGCCAAACTTGGACCGAACCCCTAAAACTCTAAAAGAGAGTGACGTTGCTTTCCAAACCAGGAAATCATGACTCATCAGCCCCAAGAGACCACCCATTTGGGGAGTGGGAGAGAAGCACGGCAAGCCATGACAAGTTAAAAAAATAAAATAAAACCCAAAACATCTTGAAGTAGAGCTCCTTTTGGATCCACAGCTATCTCATCAAAGCAGACATGCTTCCTTGATGCTGTATGGCCAGTAGAACTCTTAACACTTTGGCAGGCATAAATTGAGATCTTTCTTTGACGTTGAAATATACAGACTTAACTGTGCTCTCATCCTCTACATTTCACTGAGTGAATAACCTAAATTACACACAACGGCAGTAAATTGGCTCATCATAGCCCTGTTCTAATTTTAAAAGGATAAGGATCTGAAAAACCAGACAGCCTAGCACTGAAAGGACTAGTGAAGCCTTTTAAGGGGCTGCCAGAGACTTTCCTCAGAAGGTCATGGATTCAAATTCAACCTGGGTTTGTGATGGCCAAGAGCCATTCAACATTTCATGTTAAATTTATGTGTGCCCTCAACATAATGTTCCTAATAAGGAGGCTGACAGCTTGCATTTGTCATCCTGCTGACTGTCTCAGGAGTACAGTGGATGGCCAACCACATGTGGAAACTAAATCATTTCCTCCCACATAAAGGTGTTCCTTGCAAAATGTGAACTCCAAGGTACTGAAGAGCATCTTGCCTTCACGCCATCTGCTGTCTGATCTCTGCCCCTCTTCCAGCCGCCCCAATCCAAGGGAAAAGTGCAGCAGCTCTCTGACTGTCAGTCTAATACCTTCATGAAAATTTAAAGATGCACATGCATGCCTACAAGAACAGTATTTGCCAAGCAACATAACTCTTGTTTTTGACAAAGCATTCACTTGTGGTGATAAAATGCGAGGTAGTAAGTCAAATTTTGACTCCATTACTGAGTATTATCCTTGAGCTCTAAATAGAAAGTCAGTACAATTCAGCTATCAGGCTCCTCCACTCCCCAGCCCCCGCCCACCCTACACACCACACCGTTAACAACAACAGAATAGCAAACTAAACAGTTGTCTCGGCTGGAGTCATGACTGAATGAGATTCTGAATTATTGGCTCTGGCCACAGGTCACATTGGCCCATCAACGATCTTAGGTTTCTGCTTGGAATTTCACAGAATCCAGTGAAGATATCCACCATCAATCAAAAGATATCTGGGATGACTTAGAGACACGATAATCAGATTGTTCCACTTTATGAAAAGGCAAAAGCTGGTGTGCCTGAGTTGAGATATAAGATTTTCATGGAGGACCTTTCACGGGTTGATGCTGACCATGACGAAGCTATAGATCAACATGTGGGAGAGTGCTCCTTATAGAGGGGGCACCACCAGGGTGTGTCAGTGTCGTCTAGCTGAGCGACGTTGGACAGCTCTGCCACTCCAACAGCACATGGCCCCCAGCTACAGGGGAGGGTGGCGGCACCCAGGTGAAATCCTGTGCCCTGAGAGCACTTTAGGAGTCCAGCTCTCCCAGGTTTCTTGTGACTAAAGATGTCCTTATCACAGTCAGAGGAAGTGCTGCCTCGATCCTTTCTTTTAACTACTAGCAATCATTTGAACTCCTAGGTGGAGGAGAGACCGAAGTTATTTACTGTCATCTGGCCACCTGGGAAATCAGATTCCGGGAGGTCATAAAGAGAGAAAATTTTTGCAAATATTTCCTCCTGCCAGAGGTGTGAGGTGAAGGGAATATCTAACACAACCACAACTCCTGAAAGAAAAAAGCAACAGATGTTGAAGCCTCCTCCCCTCCCCTTCCCTTTGAATCTCATGGTAGAGCTGTCTCTACCTTGGAGGTGGGCTGAAAATGCCTGTGAGTAGAGCCTGCCCCAAGCAGCAGGGTTAAGGCTCAACACTAATTCCACATCTACTATCTATCTATCGTTCAGTCATTTCTTCCATCTGTTAATGGGTCCTTCAGACCTTTATTGATAACCTTTTCCGATCACCTACTCAGCGGTGGTGGACTCTCGATGGAGTCAAATGGTCGCTTGCTTGACGGAAATAATTCTCGTCTAAAGTAGTCTAGGGGGATTTTCAAAAACTGCTCTAGTGCTCTGTGGGAAGCCTTTGTACGATTTGGCCTGACGTTTCCAAAATGGATTTACAGCCTTCCGTCCTCCAGGACCTTGAACACAACCAATCTTCTTTCTTTCCCTGAGAAGTTCGCTTTCCCGGATTCTCGACACGTAGTTCAAATATGGGGTCCAGATATATTACGGTTGCTGTTGGGGTCTGACCAGGGACGGGAAGACAGTGGAGGCCGGTAAAAAAGGTCGGTGCGGGATGGTGTCTGGGAACACCAGCAAGGTGTCATAAAATGAACGCCAAGGCGGCCACAAGAGGAGGGCTGAGAACCGAACCCAGAGCCTATCGCCGGGCCTTTGTGGCCGACGTGACGTGGCTCCGTCAGGTGGAAACCGTGCGATCCTCTCCCGACCCAACTCACAAGAGATAAAGATGTCTAAAAAACCTCGACCGCCGCCGCACACCCAGCGGGGCCCCGGGGACGGGGGGAGGGGAGCGCCTCCACGGCAGAAGCGGCGGCCGGGGCTTGTTTGGAGGTTCGCAATTCACCATGATAAATGTAAAGACCAATTAAGGTTTGATCCGTGCACACTGGAGGCAGACGGCGGCTGATAGTGGAACCAATTAACGAGCATGTCCCCTAATTCCTGTCGCGGCCGCCGAGCAAACCGCGCGGCTCCCCAGGCACCCGCCGCGGCCGCCCCGGAGTCCCAGAGCCCCCAGCCCGGCCCTGGAGTCGGGCGTCCTTCTCGAGCGAGAAGGTGCGAGGAACGGGGACCCCTTCTCCAGCGAGAAGGTGCGAGGAGCGGGTCCCCGGGTGGCCGGGGAGGGGGCGCGCCAGGCCGGGAGGAGGGGAGCCAGCCGCCTACTGAGCCCAACTGTTTGCATCCGGGACCGGCGGGCGGGGCGCGACCCAGTGGTAGCGCCGGGCAGGGGCGGCGGGGGCTGGAGAAGACGCCCAGTGAGAAGCGGGGTGGCGCCCCGAGGGCAGAGGACAGGTGGCCGTGCGGCCGCAGCCAGGTAGCAAACGGCCCAGGGGCCGCGCAGCGCGGTCCCCAAACTCAGCCTGGCCCGGGGCCCGGCGCGCTGCTACCCGCCGCGGGGGTGGCCTGGGTCGGAGGGAGGGGGCGCGAGACCGCACCCCCGTGCCCCGCGCGCCTCGGCCTCAGGGCTCCCGCTCCCCTTCCCCTTCCGGCTCAGCCGACCGCCCCAGACGTGACCCCCGCGTTGGCTGCGCGCTACCGGGGCGCGCGTGATTAATGGCCCCGAGGTCGGGGGCGGCGCAAGCTCGAGCCCCTTGTTGGCCTGGCCAGAGTGTGAGGGTGCCCAAGAGCACTGCGGGGTCATGGCAGCGGGGGCCTCCGGGAGCGCGGCGGCGGAGGAGGAGGAAGAGGAAAAGCAGGTGACGCGGGCTGAAGAGGCTTGTCCCCTCTGGCCCCAGCGCTGGCGCCGCGGCGGGTCCCCCGCGCCAAGCAAAGTTTGGAGCCGCGGGCGCCGCGCGCAGGTCCCTCCCCGCGCAGTTCTCTCGGCGGGGTCTGTGCCGCCGCCGCCGCTGCCAGGGCAGGACAAAGGCTCATTAACACGTGATGGGACCGCGCTTCATAAATGGGACTGGAGCGAGAGGGAGCCAGAGACAGCGCGAGCGGAGGGAGAGGCAGGGACCGCGCGAGCGGGACGAGGCGACGGGCGCCCGGGCTGGCGGAGACTGACGGCCCCATGCGGGGCCAGGCGGGGCTCGCGGGAGGACCCAGTGAAGAGCCGGGGAAGGGGCGAGGCTCGCCTGCGGTCGGAGCAGCGGGGCGCCAGTCCCGGTCGCTGTCGCGGGCGGGCGCTGGAGACCGGGACGCCGGCGCGCGGACGGACTGACTCGGTGACCGCCCGCGGGAGGCACACCCCGCTCCACCCCACCCCGCCTCGCCCGCAGCCCGGCGCCGACGCCGCCTCCCGCACGCTACTCCCTCTGCCACCCTTTCCTTCTCCACTTCTTTTCCGCCTCCGCCTCTTCTTGGCTCCCGCGGCGCCAGCGCCTTCCCCTGGCCCGGGCGGGGACCTCGGCTCCCTGCAGAGCTCTCCGTGTCTGTGGGGGACATTTCGTTCTGTCGGACAAGCAGCCCCTGAGCTGGGCGAGAGGTGCCAAGGGAGCTTCTGTCCCGAGGACCGGGGGATGCGAAGGGTAAGACCCGGCAGAGTTGCGTTTGGAAATACTTTGCCGCCTCCCGCCCCCTCGGGTATGACCAATGTGGTCCCCAAGTGTCCTTCGTGGAGTTCTTATTCCGTGTGAGCGAATCGTGCGTCGGTGTTTACTTAGCTGTATGGCCCCAGCCTGTTAACTATGATCTGTGCTACTTCTGGAGATTTCTACCATTTACTAGTTATTGAATGTCTGTGCACCTGGCTTTGTATGCACTGATGTCTGTTTGTAGAAAATGTGTAATTGTGCATGTTTGAAAAACGGGCGCTTGAGTTGGTGCTGAATGCCTAGCAAGTGGTCTTCCCAGGGAATTACATCGATCTCTGCTGCCAACCTAGACACTGACTAATGTAAAATAGTAAATGTCATATAAAGAGATGAATGTCAAGTAATAAACTTTTGATATAGAAAAAGCTACGGGGAACCACTTCTCTCTGAGGAAAAACAAATGTCCATGTAACTGATACCTAAAATTGAGTGTTGATGGAGTCATTTAACTCAGAAATAGCCGTTAGATGACTAAAATTAATGTTGCATTTTTAAAAGACATTTCTTGTTAAGGCTTACAAATCATAAACGAATCACCTCCCAGATACAAATACGTTTGCTGTAATAGATGTGAGAAACTGTCATTTGGTCATTTGAAAGTTTAAAAGCAACATGCATGTTTCTAATTTTAATAGATTGTCTCTCAGATGTAAAATTGAACAGATGAGAAAAACAAAAAAAAAAATGTTTAGTAACATATTAATCATTTTGCCTCCCATCTTTTTTTATTTTCCTCCAAGTAAGTGCTATTCTTGCCTTTGTTGTTGATTTCTTGATATATTAAGCCTCCTTGGGCATGTAATCCAATAAGATTAGAACAGATTTACTGGTTTTAACAGTGTTAAAAGATATCTCTATGGGTCCCATAACTTCTCCTCATTTTTATTACCAAGCTAATATCTTTTGAACAATGGGGGAAATGCAATTTCTTAGAGGTAACTCAGTGGACACTGAGTATTAGTGGGGTCACCATTGACATCAATCTATTTTGCAGAATATTGAGAAGCTCAGAGCAACCAACCTTTAAGGTTCCCATAGGACTTTATCTGATTTAAAGTGTTGCTTTTCTAATCCTACACTACTGACAGTTTGCAAGGGAAGATATACTGATTGATTTTTCTCTGTCCCTTTTTTCCCTGGTACTCCTCCCCCTCCCTCACTCTCTAACTCACTTAAGAGCAATTTTATAAAAATAAAAGGCCTGTATCGTTTTTAAGTGAGACAGATTATTTTCTGATTATCTCCATATATGAACAGAAGACATGCACCTTCAGAATTTTAATCATTGCATTCTACAGGCATTTATTTGTAGGCACAATGGCAGTTACCATAGTTGGGCAAGAGTCTTGATATTGGACATGGTTTTAAGAAACTAATCCATTTGAGGTTATCAGGAGAACTTACTGTAAACCGACTCTTTTTGTTTCAAAGATGTCTCCCACTCCAAGGCTAGGCGTGCACTTGGCTGAGGTATGTATCAAGTGTCTGCTGGGGATAGGTCTCATTGTGTTTCTAAGTATCCATGGGGGTAAAATGATGCCACGAGGTGGAAATACTCAATTCTGGCCTTTCAAAAATAAAATTACTGTGCTTGCATACTCGTTGTTAGGAAAGCAAATTAGATATTCATGTCCTTGCATTTTAACAACATTAATCTATGTGTATGTAAAAAGAATGTTATGACTAGAATCTTAAGCCATAGGTGATTATTGTTTAGTGGGTAAAGTTTTAAATTCTGATGGAAATCAGATCTCACATTGAAGTAGTGCTTGGCTTTGTTTGTTATCCACTGTTTTCTTTTTCTGTTACCCTTTTCCCAGTGGACCATGTTCCTCTCTGTCTTGCCTGTGAGATTGCTCTTCTCTAATAAGCCTAGCTGCAGGATCAGTGTGTTCTTTTTGGCATTTCAAAATGGTAAAATAGTGAAATTGTTAAATGTTACCAAGATGATACTGCTGGGAATGAAATTCTCCAAAAGAACCACTATATTTGTGGCATATTTCAGTCTCTTCCAAAAAAAAAAAAAAAAAACAACTCTGATTCGATTTACTTATCTTCCCAAGAAGGAAGTAGCCCCATTGATTGTGTTGATAAGTGTTTAGTATGCAGTGTCAGCTTATTAATTACTAAGGCAAAGCCTCAGAAACTGTTTCAAAACAGTCGTATAACACTGTTCTTTGCTTTGACTAAAAATTAACATTAACCACTGGAAAATTTAGACAGGCTCCATGGTTGTCTTGTATATTAGTGTTTGGAATTGGAATTCAAATATTCTGCTGTGTAAGAAAAACTATTATGAGATGGAACTTATAATAGCAGTTTATAGTTCACCACGCTTACCAAATGTTTCTTACCAGAAAACAGTTGGCCTAATAAGGGATTATTTCCCATAACTAGCTATCCAGGAATGCTGCAAAAACAAGAGTAACAAATTAAATTTGAAAATACCTAATGACACATAATTAGCAAAATGAGATTTGGTTATAGCTTCTTGAATTTGTAAGAATTCTAGATGACCATTATTGTTTCTTTTATTCCAGGAAATATTTTGGAGAAATCTGAATTGATCTATGTTATAAAGTTAATCCAGTCTAATCTAAGAATATTCAGTGAATTAAATGCTTATTAAAGCAATTAAAGCATTATAACAGGCAGTAACCTAAAGGACAGACTTCATCTTACTAACCAAATTCCATGTTAGCTCAGTTGCGTAAAGAACACAGATGAGAGCTTTCATTCCCTACTAAAAAGGATACCATGTCTCCACCAGTGTGTCTGTTTCTTCTATTTTTGTAGTCATCATTTTCTAATTGAACTGACAAATAGAGTGAAACTAGGCTTTGGGTTTAAATTATTTATAATTCTGCTATTTCCTCTAAAACAACTTGGACCCAACATTGTTTGAAAGACTGTGCTAGGCCCAGGTGTACATACTGCATATCTGTGTTTTGAGAGACAGCCAGCTTTGCTGATTTTTCTGTTATGTATTGAAGATTGGTAAAGAACTCAAAGAATAAGAGGAAATCCAAATCTGTTTATATAGTTTGTGTTGCCAAAATTTTAACTTCATGTTTTCTTCCCTGAATCTCTAGTTCTTTCCTAATCCTATCCTCAGAGAAATGGTGACTCAATATTATAGCTACATGATTGCTGTTTTTAGGGACCTAGGGCACACAACTCTTTGCCACTGAATTGCTGTTTACTGCTTTGATAAGCATCTAATTCGATGTATATTCTTAGATTAGAGTGGATTAACTTTATAACATAGATTAATTCAGATTTGTCCAAAATGTTTCCTGGATTAAAAGAAACAATAACTTCACCCAGAATGTGTATATATTATGAAAGTATATATTGCATAATTTTGGACAACTGGACATGTAAACACACTTTTATTTACATGTATAAACAAACTTTTTGATAGAAGTAAATCATGACTGAAATAAAAATTTAGATATCTTGCCTTTATACATTTGAACATATAATTTTAAATAAATACTGCAATAAATACTTAAAATACTTAAAATTTAAAATAAATACTGATTTTAAATAAATACTACAAATTTGGGGAAATGTCTACATTCAAAGCAGCTGTGCAGATGGACACTGAAGACAAAGCAAAAGGAAATATCCACCTTGAATCAAAACAAGGCCATTCTTGTTTTCCAAGATAGGTGGAAATCCTTGGCAGTCTCATGTGTTCTAAGAATCTTGCAAATATGCCAGGAGGAGCATCACCACATTTGATTATAATTTTATTATAAACACTGATGGGTTTAAGATAGGTTTTTTTTGGTTTTTGTTTTTTTTAACCAATCCTTTTAGTTGTTTATTGTTTTTTGGGAAATTAGGGCTATACAAGTTGGAGGAAAATACAGAAGGTTATTACCATATATTAGAATGCATATTGAGATAGTATATTTTTTATATATAACACATTAAAATGTTACTACAAGTGAGTTAAAACTATAGGAAATTGTGTTAGGGAGGAAGGTTTGTAAGGTGGACCCTGTCACCTCTCTTGCTACTTTTGAAATTGCTTTATGTTAGAGGAACTTCCATCTCAAACTTGCTCACATGGATAAGAGGTATGTTTAATACATATTGGTAATCATAGGTCAAAGTCATTACATAAAGTAGTGTGATTACCTTTAGTTCTTATCAAAATATTTACTAAAAGCTTTCCTGTGTTGTATTTCTTGACTAAACGGGGTGCCTCATGGTGAAACAAAGTACATTTGTATAATAGTGTAGAGGACAGTTAGTTGCACGTATAAGTATATTCGTGATCTAGTTTTCATTGATATTTTCCATCTATTTGAAGTATTTTTCATATAGATCAATTAATAATGGATAACCTCTAAGTTAAAAGTTTGATTTGGACAGGTAAAGCTAATAACTTAATCATCATGGAATTCTTGAGGTTCATAGTTTATATAGGTTTTTGAGGGAAGAATTGTTTACTCCCAAAACCTGAGCAAATGGGCATGGCAGAGTCTTCGCAGTTGTTCAGGCAATACTCTGAATTCATTTTAGCCCCAGCAAGAGAAACGTTCACACCTGCACTTTAGGAAAGCTTTCAAAGTTTTGCTTTCCTTGCTTTGTTTTCTTTTGTTCTTGAATATGTAGAGGCTGGTTAGATGGAAATCATTGTTTTTGAGCAAACTCTACTTTAACCCATTGTGCTATTGCATAATATTCTATCTTTTTGAATGCTTCCAAAAGTACATTTTGCATTTTTTTGACTGCAAGAAGGAATTTAATTTGCCTTTTCTCTCAACACTAATGGCAAATAATTTTTCCCTAAAGTACAATATTTTACTATTTAATGTCTTATTTTTCCACTCTTATTTGGATTCTTAATTAGGAAATTATGTTTTTCAAAATTTATGTTTAAATGAGAGGGTCTCCCTCTTTTCTTCACCATTTCTTTATTCATTCTTTTAGATCGTAACTTTAGAGAAGAAAATTGGAGCCAATATGAGTCCTGAAAATTGAGTGAAGTTTTAAGGAGTATTACATTCAAGCTGGCGATAAATTCTAACATACTTTTGAAAAAACAAATTTTAGTCCAGGTGAGGTAGCTCACGCCTGTAATCTCAGCCCTTTGAGAGGCGGAGAAGGGTGGATCACTTGAGGTCAGGAATTCGAGACCAGCATGGCCAACATGGTGAAACCCTGTCTCTACTAAAAATACAAAAATTAGCTGGGTATGGTGGCACACACCTATAATCCCAGCTACCCAGGAGGCTGAAGTGGGAGAATTGTTTGAACGCAGGGGGAAAATGTTGTAGTGAGCCGAGATTACGCCACTGCACCCCAGCCTGGGTGACAGAGTGAGACTCTGTCTCAAAAAAAAAAAAAAAAAAGAAGAAAGAAAGAAAGAAAAGAAGAAACAAATATTTAAAGTTCGTTTTAAATTTCTACTTATATGGACACTTGTACTTGGTATTTGTAACATTGATTTCTTTGGGTCAAGAAGCTAAAAATGATGTTTTTATTTATTTATTTTGAAGCAGTCTTACTCTGTTGAACCAGGCTGGAATGCAGCGGTGCAATCTCGGCTCATTGCAGCTTTTGCTTCCTGGGTTCAAATGATTCTCATGCCACCACGCCGGCTAATTTTTGTATGTTTTATAGAGACAGGGTTTCACTATGTTGGCCAGGTGGGTCTTGAACTCTTGGCCTCAAGCTATCTGCCTGTCTTAGCCTCCCAAAGTACTGGGATTATAGCCATGAGCTACCATGCTTGGCCTAAAAATGATGTTTTTAATACAGAAAGCTAATCAATATAATTGTTGATCTTTTAAAAAAAAGATCATTTAGGTACTATACTGTTGTCACTTGTGTTTGCTTTTAACTCAGCTATATTTTAAAATAAATCAAATTTATTTATTCTTTATACGAGGGACCAAATGCCACTATAATCTGAGTATTTTGGTTTATGCCATAGTGTTTGGTTAAATGGATCCAATTTTCAACTCATTTAAATGCATTGCTACCAGAATTTGCTAAATGTTTTCTTTAGCTTTTGTACAAGTTGTGGTGAGCAGGCAGTATGCATGTAGGGAAAACGGAAAGCTAGACAATTTAACATATAACTAAAATAAGTGCAAGATTGGTCAAAGAATTTTGTGTCTTTACATATGTGGGAATTTGACTTTGGAAGATACACAGCCACTTTTGGAAATGACATCTAATGTCTTGTAAACAAAAAGGGAGAAATCTTTGAATTATTTTAGTCCTCAGCTAAAGTAACTAATTGTGAGTAATCTGTGATCCATTTTTATTGACAAAATAATTCGAGAGAGAACAGTTGCCCAGAGTCATACATTTAAGTGCCTTAGGATACATTTCTAAATATTTATAACTTTTAGGCATTTTTGAAACATGTCCACTATAAGAAGTGTAAATTGCATAATTACCAGAGTAATTCTGTAAAATAATTTGCAGTAGATATGTATTGCTTC